GTGGGCCGCTGCGAGGACCGCATGGTGCAGCGGCTGGAGCAGGACTTCAAGATGACGCTGCAGCAGCAGAACTCGCTGGAGCAGTGGGCGGCCTGGCTGGACGGCGTCGTCACCCAGGTCCTCAAGCCCTACCAGGGCAGCCAGGGCTTCCCCAAGGCCGCCAAGCTCTTCCTCCTCAAGTGGTCCTTCTACAGGTACGGTGGCCCCGCGGTGGTGGCGTCACCGCTGGGGTGACGTTCCCCATGGTGACGTCCCCACCACCACGGTGACGTTCCCCATGGTGACCCCCAGCACTGCAGTGATGTTCCCCATGGTGACATCCCACCACAATGGTGTGACGTTCCCCATGGTGACATCCCCAGCACTGCGGTGATGTTCCCCATGGTGATGTCCCACCATGGTGGTGACATCCCCCTATGGTGACATCTCCAGCACCGCGGTGATGTTCCCCATGGTGACATCCCATCACCATGGTGACATTCCCCATGGTGACATCTCCAGCACTGTGGTGATGTTCCCCATGGTGATGTCCCCACCACCATGGTGACATCTCCAGCACTGTGCTGATGTTCCCCATGGTGACGTCCCACCACGATGGTGTGACATCCCACCACCATGGTGACGTTCCCCATGATGATGTTGCTCTCAGGGATGTTCCCTGTGATGATGTCCCCCACAGTGCTATAGTGACATTCCCTATGGTGACATCCCCACCACGGTGGCACCACCATGGCAGTGACATTCCCCACGGCGACATCCCACCATGGTGACATCCCCCTATGGTGACATCTCCAGCACTGTGCTGATGTTCCCCATGGTGACGTCCCACCACGATGGTGTGACGTTCCCCACGGCGACATCCCACCACCATGGTGACGTTCCCCATGGTGATGTTTCCCCCAGGGATGTTCCCTGTGCTGATGTCCCCCATAGCGCTATAGTGACCTTCCCCACGGTGACATCCCCACGGTGACCCTGCCCGTGTCCCCCCTGTCCCGCAGCTCCATGGTCATCCGCGACCTGACCCTGCGCAGCGCCACCAGCTTCGGCTCCTTCCACCTCATCCGGCTGCTCTACGACGAGTACATGTACTACCTGGTGGAGCACCGCGTGGCCCAGGCCAAGG